AAGCATAGGAGCAGATGGAATTTTATTTTCAACGAAATTTTGATCTATGATTATGTACAAAGACAGTTATGTAAGCCGTTTTGGTTGGCATTTTAGTCATAGCTATGGTTGCTTCAAGACCACTGTGAATGGTTACTATTAAAAAATGTCTGGAACAAATTTTTTATTTTTTTGTTTTTTTCATACCCATATCTATTATGGTATTTTTTAGCGCTTGAATATTTTTTAATCCAATAATCCGTTTTTGGAGCCAAGTCTAAAAACCAACGAATAACCGAAACAAAACCAGATATCCTTATCTAGTGAGAAGGCTAACCAAAAGAGGTACCGTTGTTTCGACAAAGCACAAAGTGGTATTAAAAAAAAATAGCATGTCTTGTCGATACGCAGATTACCAACTACTCTTCGCTTTTGGTTTTTTGTGGGTCAAAATATCATATTTTTCAGCTGTAAGCCAAACATATGAAATACATAGGCACCAATTTACTTAGAAAAAATGTACATGGTGCCACTGGTTGACAGAAAAAAAAACACTCACCTAAATATGAACATATCATCATGCAAAATATAAAAAAAAAAACAATAACATGAGTTATGGTCCCACCTCCCACACAGCTTGTTCTTTCCCATCTAATTTCCTAATTTAGAGGCACTGGATTGCCAGTTAAAAAGGGCTGTAACCCTGGAATGCCATATCACAAATAGCTGGAGTCGAGTGGTAAGAGCTTACTACTAAATAATACCCGCCAAGACTCAGATACGGTCCCAAGACGGCGCAACATCAAAATGTTAGGATACGTTTTTTTGTTTGTTAAATAGCAGTGGGCAGGCGATAGGCGAACCTCCTTGCGTATTTTCATCTTAAAAAAACGTCTCTCAAAAGCTTTCACCGTTTGAATTTGGCTCCAATCTCTCTAAAATGATGCGTGATCGCTAAATTTACTATATGATTTTTATGCTAGGGCGTAGTACTACCCTAGTACGATTATCAGCATCTATTAAACCTAAGAAAATTGCAAGCAAACATTTACGCTCGCTGGACAATTTTCACAATTTTAACCTAATAAATTGCATTTTGAACCACAGTGCCGCTCGACAAATGACTTGACATGCTAATAAAAATGATGTTATCGAACAATCGATCAATGGTGCAAGGTGTCTGATGGGTGATTGATTGAATGTGCATGCAGTGCATTTGTAGTACGTATGTATGTATGTATGTATGTATGTATGTATGTGTGCGAATGTATGTACACTCCTGGTCATAGTAATAGGTACAAAATTCAAATTTATATTGTTTGCAATTAATATTTATTTGTTTATTATTAAGAATTTTAATTTAAAATTTAGTTCGGTATATAACAGAAACTACATAAATAAAACTTTCAAAGCTTGCAAAAAGTCCACAAAAATTATTCAAACTTCAAAAATTTTCATCAATATTTCAAATTTTTTATTCAGAAGTTTTTCGATTGTGCAGTTTTTTACCCCCTTAAATTTTAGTATAATAAAGTGGAAGTTTCAAGTCGCTAAAAATTATTGTTGATTTTTTAGATTTTTTTTTGTCGAGGGTGTTAGACATTTTTGTTTTCTTATATGGAAGGAAATGCTGAATATCCTCGACAAAAGAAATTCACAAAAATCAACCGTTGTTTTTATAGACTTGAAACTTGCACCCTATTGTACTAAAATTTAATGGGTTACAAAATTGCATCCTTGAAAAATTCTAAAAAAAAAAAGTTTTAAATCTTGATGAAATTTTTTTTAAGTTTGATTAATTTTTGAGACTTTGTGCAAGCTTTGAAATTTTGATTTATGTGGTTTCTGTTATAGATCGAACTATTGGTATTTTAAATGAAAATTCCTACACATACAGAAATAAACATAAGTGGCAAACAATATCATTTTGAATGTTATACCTATTATTATGACCATCAGTGTATATTGATGCGTGTGTGTATGCAAGCATATTAGGGCAATAATTTACTTTTTTCAAAATGCACAGCTACGGGCGGCATGCGCGTGTTAGTAGAATTGGCAGTAGTAAAAGTAGTAGTAGTAGTAGTAGTAATGGTAGTAGCTGTTGTTGTTGCAGCAGTACTAGCGGCTGCTAAAATGGAAACATTGTCATGCGTTGCACTTGAATGCATTCGCTTGGCGGCGGTAGCGACGTTCGGGGTGCTGCTGTCATGGCCAACACCATCGCCATTGAGGACACACTGTGGAGGTTCAGTGACAGCAGCTGTAATGCAGCTGTTGTGCGCAACAATCGATGGCGCTATTGTTGTTGCTGTTGTTGCAGACACCATTTTTGGCATAGCCATTGTCACAATTTGTTTAATAACAATCAGTACTTGTGATGAGCGGCGCTCTTGTTGTTGTTGCTGCTCTTTTATATTCGTTGCTGCTGCTTTGTCCTCTTTTTCGCCTGCTACGCCTCCTTCTTCTTCATGCTGTTGTTGTTGCTGCGACCACCGCCGCCTTTGCAACGCATGACTGCTACACGGTTGCTGCTGCGACTGCTTTTGTTGTTGTTCTTGCTGGTTAGTAGGCGTATCATGCTGAAAAAACTCACTCTTTGGCAATTTGCCCGCAGCATTGACATTTCCGTTTCCCTTTTGGCTAAGCGTTGTTTGTTGTTGTTGCTGCTGCTTTTGTTGTTGTTCTTGTTTTTGCGCACTCGCATTGTGACTGCGCTTAAGCGAAAAACTGCTAACCACTTTGGCAAATGTAGACTGCTGTTTGGCGGGCGCGCCAGTGCCGTCCGAGTTGCAGTTATTTTTATTGCCAATTAGCTGGTCGTTGGCACCTGTCGCTTCTGCTTGCACTATTTTGTAATCGTTCGCGCTAGTCTGGCCATCGTTTGCCGTTGCTGCTGATGCGCTAAATTCCGCCACATTTGTTGTTGTTGCCCGATTACCGCTTGGAACATCCGCTTCAGCTGCGCACGCCTCATGTTGCGGCAACATTTTTCTCTGCTCCCATTGCTGCTCCTCTTCCTGTGGCTGCTTAGCTTCACGCTCCTTGCCTTTTGTCAGCTTTTTTGGCTTCTTTGCGGCTTCCGCTTGTCCAGCTGGGCCTGTCAGCTGCTGATATTCGTCGTAAATGCTGTAGCGCTTGTTCGCTTTGACCACAGTCGCTGCGGATAACTTGGAATTTTTCGTCGTTTTGGACGATTTGAAAATTTTATTCCACATTTTTTTACTCATTTTGTATGTGTGCGCTTCTTTTACACTTTATAAAAGCCAAACAAAAAACGAAATTCAGCTAACTCTCAAAATTGTTGCAACAGTTTCAAATCACTTGCGCTCAGATTTACTCAAAACACTTCACAGCACTTTGTTTGGTTTGGATTTTCGCTTATTCTTATTCTTTCTTAAGTTTACTTTTTCATTGATATGTAGTATAACCAGAATACACTTTTTCCTTTAACTCATACTCTTTCCATTTGCCACCCGCTTCACTACACCTTACACGCGCCATGTTCATGGCAAAATTTCCATGCTCTTATCGTTTATATAGCTCAACTAGATTGTTCGCACAACTTTTCGGTTTCGGCAACAAAATGCGACTGATTGCGCGTTGTGAAGTAAATAAAGTGTAGACCACCGGCAAATGCGATCAAGCGCTTAGTAAGTACTCGAACTAACAGCTGCTGCCAGCGCTTCTGCTCGTGCTTTGTTTGCTCTTGCCACTTTTGCCATTACTGCAGCGATTGCTGCTACTGCGTCGGCCGCGGCAACTGCTGCTCCACTTCACGCGCCATCTGTGTTGCGCTTCGCCGGCAGCGTGTACTGCTTTAAAATACACACACAAACAGACTTCTATATAATTCTGCGTTGCTTTATTTCGTTGCTGTTCTGTTCCGGCTCTGCCGCTCTTCACCTCTTCTCGACAAATAAGCTCTGTCGCAAACGGTCGGTAGTCTCTGAAGAAGCTCCAAGTTCCATGTTGTCTTCAAGATTTTGAGTGCGCCATTTACATATTGAGGCAAGCCCTCTAGGAAAAAATACTGCAGTAGTGTGAAAAATTTGTTGTAAGTTTTTTGGCGCGGGCAATCTGGTATTCCATATTCCACAGTCACATGCTGGTCCAAGAAGTTTAACCTGGGCAGAATTTCGAATAAATTAGATCCAAGATATCAGGGGCTTCCATGTGCTGGGTACCGAAAATATCGACTAACATGAGAAGGCACCCAAACCCGAAGTCGATGAGACGACTAACTTGACTGACGTTTGAAAAGGTATCCTATTCTCCAGATGTAGTAATCATTGGGCTCTATATTTTTCCAGCACTGACAGAAAAAATGACTTCTTAAATAAAAAAATGGTTTGGAGACCATACTTTTTTTTTTTTTTTTTTTTTTTGACCATAGAGATTGAATAAAAAAACATAAGTTTACNATCTCTGGGAGCTCCGTGAGAGGCCGTAGAAAATCCTGAACAGGAATAGTGATCTTCGACCTAGTCGAGAGTTTTCGGCCTATATCACAAAACTATTCGGAGGTCACTGAGCCTTTACTTCGGCTTGATATACACAGCTTTAGTCAGAGTGATTATTACGTATTCCGCTGTAGTAGCGTTGGACAGATCATTACAAACATTTCATATGAAGGTCTGTGGAACGGCAGAGAGAACACTGGTGACCTTACCTTGGCCTTGTTGCCGCACCTAGCCTTGGCAATTCAACCTTTGTTTACGTGGGCAATCGAATTGTAAGACCTCCCCATGCTTAGAGATGTAAGCCTGCATTTTTCTGCGGAAATGAAATATCTGGAAAAAAACGTATAAAGTTTTCGGACAATATCGAAGAACTTTTCCTTTGACTTGATAACTGAAAATTGTTTTGATACTCGTAAGCAGATCTTAATAGCCGTTCCGGGTACAACATCAGGAGAACCTCTTCAAAATTTGTTGGATCAGATTTTTGTTCTATCAGATTTTATGCTACATGAAAAAGCAATACAAACGATGTTTCGAATGCATCCATATCTATTCGGTTGGGGTTGGGTTGGGGGACCACAGCCAGAGTTTCGGCACAGCGAGTTGTTTAAAAGGTTGTGGAGCCAACACCATTGATTATTGATCACAAATAAATAACCATCCGATTAACTTCGCTTCAAGAGAACACTGTAGAGACCTAGCCAATAATTTAGGGACTCGATCAAAACCTTTAGCACTAAGGGCTCCAAAATAGGAAATGGAACTAAAGGCGACTGGCATGTAGGCGGTAACTAATCGGAGTTTACAGTGATAGAAATTTGGCACTAAACACCTTGAATATCGCTATTACTTTTTCAGGACTTGTGTAGGGGGGTGAGTTGGGGTGAACCACATATGTATGTGTGTTGCAAAACGCACTAAGCTTAAACTCATGGGGCTATCGGGTCTCTATAGTATTGAAGGTAACGAATTTTTGTTTTGCCTCTGAGCCAGATCCCTCAGCACTAGCTGAGCCTTACCTACTATAATAGGAAAGACCAGTCAAACTGTGACAAAAGATCTTCAGTTAACGAACTATACTGATTTAGTTGATTTATTATGATTTAGTTTAGGATCCATTGTCCCATCTTATGCTTCCTTTTTAGTCCTATTATACTTATATCACTTACTATAGGCATCTCAGTTTCTAAATAGACTCCCAGTAAGTAAATGTGTATCTTAATACATTGCCCGAAATAAACTTTCGTCTTAATTTTTTTTGCACTTAACTAATTCCTAGTGGCATCAGTTCATATTGCAGCAAAAGTTCAACATCTGATTTTCGTTCCCCTTTTCAATGAGGCTTTCTGTTTCATCGTCAATTGCGTCTTCCGCCGGTTTGTTTCATTTTTTCTTTTTAATTTTAAATTTTAAAATTTTTGTCTTCATTTCCATTGCGACAAAGTTAAAATACCCACAACGTCGCAACGTCTATTCACTATTTAGGGTGCCGATCGGTGCTCACTGGGCGGCGTGTGGAGCGTGGTGTTGTCGTTGTCGCTTATTTATATTTATGTTTCGTGGAAGACACAAAATATTCACATCGAAAATCAATTGGCCATCATTGTTATATGCCACAATTGCTAGTTTGATAGTTTGAGTGCAGCTGATAGATTGTATCTTAATTTTTAAGTATTTATTTACGTGTGTATGGATATGTTGGCGAAGTGTGCCCGACATCATTCCCAAGCGGCGAATTAATTTCTGCATCGCTTGATCGATTTTTTGAGGCTGAAAGATATATGATATACATATGTACTTAGGTTCCAGTGAATAAACCACAAGCTTTCTATTTCTGCATACTTATTTGTAATGTAGTTCCTTTAGTTTAAGTTTATAAACGAAACTCATTAGCTTATAGCCTTTAAACTCAGAAAAGTGAATTGTTATCTTTGAATATTTGTGTCATATGGTTGGCGCGTTGAGCTTTCTTGTTCATGGCTTATTTTTATGCATACACTAGACCTAATAAGTAGTAAGATAAGAAGTAAGAGCTGGAGTCTTTCTAGAAAGCAAATAACATCTCTTGATTCGGAGTCTTCATAAGATTTGTGCATCTATAAGACTCCTAATTATTCAGGACTCATTAAGTCGGTTCGCTCAGTCGCCATTTAACGCTTGGATCATTAGTGCCCTCAGAAAACAAAGTAGATAGTCTTCCAGCACATTTATGTAGAAATTTAGCCACAAATATTGTCCTCAGCAAGACTAAATGTCCTATAATCTGGCATCCGCACTTGTCATGCAAAAGTAAGAGCTTCGAGTAAAAGACTGTGCTCATAACATCTCCTGACGTAAAACGACCGTACATAGTGATCCACATGCCAGTCAGTATCGATCACATATAGTCTCGTAGTTATGGATGCTTGCCCTCAAACGATTTAAAAATGAAAGGACTTTGTCGTTGTTTTCTTGTAAGATTGATCTAAAAGTTTCAAAGTGCCTCTAACTAGATCAGTGACGATCAAAGCTCTTTGCAGATTTTATATGGATATGCGCTAGCTGAAAGCGCTCGCTGGTCGTCGCTGCGCTGAATACGCAAATGGCAAAGATAATTATTTTTCTTGCACGTCCAAATAAAATTTATGGACACCTTTAAAACTCTCTGCAATCGAGCAAAGCTGTGCTCATCACCGATCTTTTAAAAGTGGTGTTAATAAAATAGAGCTTTTACTCTATTCGCATTCGTAAAATATCAATAGCGAGCTTTTAAAAGCTTCATCCGTTGGATAAATGTATGTATTTAAATCATCCAGCTTTTCAGAGCTCTCTATATGTAGATTTTATATGGACGTAAAGAGCGTAAAAGCTCTCTTTGCTCATCACTGATTTAAAGCTTAAAAAGCTTTGTACGCGAACCACAGAGAGCTTTTACGCTGACTTGTAAGGTCTTTAGAAGCTTTTTTCACATCTATTATCGACGAGGAAATTGTAAAAGCTCGCTCTGCCGAACAATGTACTAGGT